AAGAAGGAGAGACTCCACCTCAGAGTGTCCAGTGTTGAAGAAGGAGAGACTCCACCTCAGAGTGTCCAGTGTTGAAGAAGGAGTGAACACAGACAGACATTCAAACAGACACTGAGCACAAGCTGTAACAAACCATAATATATGAATCCTTGAATGAAATATTGTCATTATGAATATGAATGCATGACAAACACCATCATTTTAGTTAAATCGTGATATTTTTACATATCTATATTTTTATATAATCAAAGCATGGTGTTTTTAAAAAAATTATAGGACGATGCAAGTTCCTAGAAAGTGTCATAAAGATTTTTAACAGGAAACAAATCAACCGTCTGCAGCTTCAGGTAAATTCAATCAGATGCCATAAAGTAATTTCAGTACAATAAACCTTCGTACCCTGCAGGAGGCGCTGTAGACCTCATTGCAAACAGCTGATGGCCACTGTAGTGAAAATATGTTTCTGTTGTTTTCTATTAGAAACAAAGAAAGGACCATTAAATGTCACAACATCCCATTTAAAGCTTTTCCAAACTAAGAGTCACATCAGGGACATTAACAACACACGGCCGCTCCATGACATCCATTCACATAAAAAATGATAATGATATTGGCTCTTCAAAGGTTTTAATAGAAAATAAACATTTCTTTATTACAGGACAGAAACTAAAAGAAATATGATGCAATTCAATCAAAGCGAAGTGATTTTATTGTGAAGCAGATGTTGTGTGAGTGAAGGGTGCAAAACAGATGTGAAGAATCCCAAAAAATAAACTGCAGCATCCAAAATCTCTTTCCATGCGTGCAGATGTTGCCGAGGGATTTCACCGACAACCCAGAGTGCGTGCAAACGAAGACGGAGAAAAAGGACAGAGAGACGGTGAAGTGTGGGCTTCAGTAGTCAGACTCATCTGAATGCTCCCCCTGCTGCGTCCAGTGCTTCCCCCTCTTCTTCTTCTTCCTCTTCCTCTCGCCCATCAGCATGGCGGCCAGCACAGTGATCACCACGGTGATGGTGATGACGAGCACGGTGACCGTCTCGGCGATGCACAGCTCCGTGTCCACGTCCATCAGCAGGTAGTCCTGCAGGACGGCCGGCTCCTCGCAGGTCAGGTTGTAGTAGTCATCCAGGAAGAGCCTCTGGATGCTGCGCAGCTTCCGGAAGAGTCTCTGCAGGTCACAGTCGCAGTTCCAGGGGTTCCCCTCCAGCAGGATGTGGGTACTGTAGGTGTGGATGCTCTGGAACGTCTTGAAGGAGAGCGTGGACAGGTGGTTGTTGGCCAGGTTGAGCAGAGTCATGCTGACGAGCGGCTTAAAGACAAACATCTCCATCTCGCTGATGTGGTTCCCGGCCAGGTTGAGGAGCTCCAGGGAGCGCAGCATGGAGAAGATGCCATTCCGCAGAGATGCCAGCCGGTTGCCATTCAGGTGGAGCTGCCGCAGGCTGCTCATGGAGGAGAAGGACCTCACCTGGATGGTGTAGATAGCGTTGCTGGTCAGGTTTAACCTCTGGAGGCTGTCCAGGTGCACAAAGCTGAGGCTGTCCAGGCTCGTCAGGCGGTTGTGGGTGAGGAGTAGCTCCCGAAGCGAAGCCAGGCCGATGGAAAACCCCTCCGTCAGGGTGGAGATCTGGTTCCAGCTCAGGTCCAGTTTCTGCAGGAACTCCAGCTGCGAGAAGCCTCCGTCCTCCACCACGCTGATGTTGTTGTTCTGCAGCAGGAGGACGCGGAGCTTGCGGGTCTTGCTGAAGGAGCGCTCTGGGATGACGGAGATGTTGTTGTCGGACAGGTCCAGGAGCTCCGTGCCGGGGGCCACTCTGCCGGGCAGCTGAGTGAAGAGGGCCCGAGAGCAGATGGTGAACTTGAGATCTCCTCGACAGTCGCAGCCCCGCTCACACCAGCTGCTGCGAGTCCTGGAGGTCACCTCGGTCACCACGAGCAGGAGGAACACCAACTCCTTCATGACTGGAAACCAGAGTTCAGTTTTTAGTGACATCTTCAGGAGGATGTAAATATTTCTTTACCTGTCATGATTTGATTTAAACAATTACCACGTTGTTGATAGAAAGAAAAGTTCATGAGTAACACGACTTCTGGATGTTTTTGAAAAAGAGCAGCTCCTTACAGCAGCACGAGATAATTCAATCTGACAGTTTTACTCCGTCATTATTTAATGGTTTCAGTAAAACAGTTCCAGAAGGTCTCTTTGAGTTCTGCATGTTTCTAAAAAGCTTCTTAATATTCTAATAAAACTCCCACATGGATCCATTTACTGTTGAGAAATGTCAGTTTTAAATACTTTGGTATTTTTCAGAACGCTCCTGATATTCAAATCCATCTGAAAATAGTTTCCCCTCCTCTTCTTCCTTCTGAGCTGACGTGGAAAACAGGGGAAGATGTTAAAGGGTTAAATGGTTTTCTACATCACCAGAGAGAGTTCTGAGAAACTACCAGGTCGAATCACGATGTTGTGTTTCTAATTTAAATCAATTAAAGAAGAAGAAGAGAGAAAAATAATCAGCTGCATCCTCCTCCTGTGTTGTTTGAGTGTTTGAATGTGTTCTTACCAGCTGCTGCTCCCTGCGTCTGTTTACCTGCTGATGGTCGTCAACGTGCAGCCGGCAGCAGGTGGAAACTGGACATGATGGACGCGGGGGAGGGCAGGTTGTCGACGAGCGACACCACAAAGACGGAGTGATGGAAAGAGACACAGAGAGGAGGAGAGGAGGGGAGGAGGGGAGGAGGGGAGGAGGGAGAGCTCGTCAATTATTCACCACAGCCACAGAGCTGTGGGAGGGGGGGGGGGGGGGGGGGGGGGGGGGTCGTGAGAGCCGAGGTTTAAGAGATTGGTGCTGAACTGGGCCACAGAGAGAGAATTAGAAGGTCGGGA